CCTGCCCCTCACGGAGCCGCCCGCAGCCCTTCCAGGGTGGTTTGGGGTTTTGTGCTTGTTGTGGGTTTTTTGGTGGTTTGGGGGGTTTGGTTTTTCTTTTTTTGTTTGTTTTTTATTTCTGTCTTTTGACTCCACTACAGCAAAATGGTTCCAAAATCTTCAAATTCTCTGGAGGCCGGTAATAGTTAAATCTCCAGCCTGAAGACAGAGGTGTTTGTTCACGTGCCGACAGTGCTTTCCAGTTCAACCTGCTGCGTTATTTCTTTTCTGAAAATACACCAGAGTAACCGCGTCCCCTCTCACTCTCCTGGGCTGGACACACTGAGGGGTTTGGGGGGGGTTTTAGTCTTTTGTAAAGTAGGTTCCTTGTTAATCTGTTTGTCTTAAGCTGCTTAAAAGTAATCGTTGGCTGTGTCAGGAGCCAAGGGTTTTAAAAAAAAAAAGGTGCAGGATTTGGGAAGGATGTGACTTGAATTTGTTGAATGTCTGGAAGTGGCGTTACTGCCTAACCTCCTACAGAAGGAGGCTGTCCCTGCGTTCTCCCTGGACTCCGGACTCAGCAGCACAAGTTTGGGTTCATGGAGAAAGTTAGGTGTTTTTTTTCCATTTTGTGATTTTACTGCCTTCTGCTGGTCAAAGATGATCACACGGAGTTTAATTTTTTGCAATTGACGCATGATTGTAGCACATGATCTAAAACTAAGCTTCAGTACAAATGTTAACAATAGCTGTTCCGTGTATTTCGTGTTGGGTTTTGTTATGGGTGTGTTGTATTTCACATAGTAGGGTCCATCAGTAGAGAAGATCGTAGGTATTAATGTGCAAAGCAGAGGACATCTTGTTTCTAAGGTCTAGGTATTGGCCTGAAGTGGGGATGCAGATCACCTTTCTAATCCTTCCCTTGCCTTTCAGCTGAATGTTTGCCCTTGCTAACAGCACTTCGTTTCTGTGTTCCTATAAATTAGTGATCACAGTCCTCATCTCTTTTAAGAATCCTTCAAACTCTAGCAGCAAGCATCTCTGTATAGCAGAGCTATAGTAGTAACACTACCATGATAAAATTTAAAAAATCCTGAAGAATGGTCACATGTAGTTACT